ATTTATCAGCTTCCTCTCTACTCCATTCATGATTGGTCAGTTTCTGAACACAGGACCACTGTTGTCCAGATATTATTTGGGCAGTTGTCCATTCTCAGCACAGCAGTGACACTGACATGACCGTTTGTGTGGTTCTGGTATGAGGCAATGTTACTGCTAGATTGAGAGTGGACCACCATCAAAAATATCCAGAAAAGAGTGTCTCTGTGGTCAGAAACTGACCATAGATGAAGAGCTGAAGGATGGACAACACAAACCATGCATTGACAGATGAACAACAGTCTCTAACTGTACACCAGCAAGGAGGAGCTACAAGAGAGGGGTTTCCAATAAAGTGGCTAGTGAAGGTATATGTGTACATCCTTATTTTGAATGTATAACGTTGCCATAGTAATCTTGGCCTGATATTTTAAGCTATACAGAAGTACAGTTATTAATTTGGGTCTTATGTTAAACTGGATACACCCAGAGACTCAAATCCCCAGTAAGAGTCTTTTAGAGCCATGTATTTCGAGAGAGTAGGTCAGTAGGTCGTGACTAATAACCAATTCAACGTAAAGTGGTGACTATAATGCTGTATTTTTATTTAATTCGGTTTTATTTTTACTTATGAGCAACTGGTCTCCAGGTGCTGTTACTGCATTTTCTATTGCGTTTTCTCCAACTGTTCCCACATTTCTGTCTTTAATGATTCACTCGTCAGCCATCATTTTTTCAGTGCCTGGCTCTGGTTCTGGCTCTGGCTTTATTACTCCAGCAGCTCCCCCAGACCAGGCTCATTAGTTCTCATTCATTGATTCGGTTCCTCATGCAAGACATGTCCAATTTTAGTCTGTGCTAGCTTTCATATTGCCCTTAACTACAGTACACTGGATCAGTCAGCGGAGACACAACCAGACGCTCCATTTGCGGCACATTTGGAAAATTAGTGAGGAGAGTGGGTTTTCCTGTAGGACTGGAGCAGGGGTGGCAGGCGCTTCAGCCCAAACAGGCAGAGTCATGCTTTTCAGCTGTCATAAGGCAGAACCGGACTAGTCACAGTTTTGGTGGGTGCCTGTGTGTCTGTTTGTGTCACTGATGACGGCAGCACGTCCGCCTGAAACCGAAAAACCTGCATGAATCAGTCATGAATCAGCTGAGCCACTTTATCAGAAACACCCACCATGTATTTCCACTAACTGGCCGCTTTATTAGAAACATCTACCAATATTTCCACTCACTGGCCACTTTATCAGAAACACCTACCTTTTATTTCCATTAACTGGCCACTTTATTAGAAACACCTACCTTGTACTTCTGCTCACTGGCCACTTTATTAGAAACATCTACCAATATTTCCACTCACTGGCCACTTTATTAGAAACACCTACCTTATATTTCCACTCACTGGCCACTTTATCAGAAACACCTTCTTCATCGATCCACTATGTAGGTGTACAGTGACAGACTGTAACTCATCAGTTGCTGCACAATTTATCAGCTCCCCTTCTACCATTCCAAGCCTTAAAGAGGGGCTGATGCCTGTGTGTATGGTTACTATATGTCCAAGAGTGTCCAGATGTCTTTTCGTCCAACATTTCATTCAAATCAAGCACAAAATGATACTTATTCAGCCCCTAACAGCAGTCATCGGTTATCACTTCTGTCCAATGAGAGGCTGTTCAATTTCTTATTCAGTACTCAATATTATATATTTATTGTCAAATCCTATTCTTTATTCTTCTTGCTCTTTTTGTACTGTTGTTTTGGGGAGTTTTATAGTTTTTTAGGGAGTTTTTCTTGCCACTGTTGCCTTTGGCGACGCTGATTTGGAGCTTGGCCCTGGATTTTCTGTAAGGCTTTTTGACAGTACCCATTGTAAAAGGCACCTTATAAACAGATACTGAATTAAACTGACTTACACTGAATTTAACTGACCTGGTCCCAATGACATCTGGCCATAATGTTGAATGGAAAGGCTAAAAAATGATACCTATCAATAGCTCACACACTGTAACATCACATTTGAGAGCCACTTTACAACTACGACAATGAAAAATGAACTAAAATGAACTGTCTAGCTCGTCACTGGTTACAGCGAGCTAACAGAACAGTCGCATTATATTTTATAGCAGCATTGGACTTTAACTGCTGTGGGAATGGAATATGAATGTTAATGTATAGCTGCTATAGCACCACCCTTAGCGCGATGCTAATATAATGCTAACATAACACTGCAAATCCCATAAGGACATGACCAGAAATATGCATTATTGCAGTGATGTAAGTAATATATACAGGTTTCATATGACGCAAACTAAAACATTTCTGCATGAAACATCGCCATGTAACATACTCACAATTAGATCATATACTCATCTAGCATTTTTTAGTAAAGACAGTGGTTCTACATAGAACCCTGAACACTCGAAGAACCATTTGCATGCTTAAATGGTTCTTTTCAGGGTGAAATAGTTCTTCAGATTGATGGAGAATGTAGTGTATATGGCAAAATATAGAACCTTTTTTAAAAACGGTTCTATACAGCACAAAAATGATTTTTCTATAGTGGCAAGCTTGATCTTTTTTGGTGCTATATAGAAGCTTTTTCAAAATATACAATACATTACCCTTCATGAGGATCCATTTCACCATGCAAAGAACGAATTAAGCATGCACATGGTTCTTTGAGTGCTCATGGTTCTATATAGAACCATTGTCTTTACTGAAGAACCCCTGAGTGTATCAAACTCAGTATAACTAACATTAAATATGTGGTATTAATGTGTGTATTGCACACAAGTGCAGTATAATCAGCTTTTAGGCATTTGTTATAAGCAAGGAAGATGATTGGATGACAACCATGAAACTTCTTTTGATGCCTTTTTCTTTGAAAGAGAGAGATGCCAAGAAGTTGGAACATTGCTGCTGAGATTTAGTTCTTTTCAGACACAAGAGCATTACTGATGCTAGCCAGTGGTCTAAACTCATCCCGAAAATGTTCAGTGTTACCGTATCCCTCAAATTCATCCTAAATATGTTCACCAGAGCTTTTCTTCCCAACCCATCCCAGTGGTCGATCTATCACCTCAATTCATCCTGAAGTTTCACAACTCCTGTTCACTCCGAACAGTCAAAGGTTTTCAGTGGGGCTTTATCGCTAACTGAACTAATCCTAAAAGTATTCAGTGGGACTTCACAGCTCCAACTCATCCCAGAGGTGATCAATGGAGCTTCATCGCTCCAACTCATCCCAAAGGTATTCAGTGGAGCTTCATCTTTCCAAGTTAACTTAAAAGTGTTCAACTGAGCTTCATCACTTATCCGCTGAAGATCTTTGGAGTTTCTCCTCTGCATTAGCTGGTTACTTGGCTTTGTGAATGGCGATCTTATGCTTGTATGTGCCCACTCCAGAGCATCCTAATCTACTGGCAATGCTTTTCTATGGAGATTACATGGCTGTGCAGTGTGGGTGTGTCCACTGATTGGATTGGAAAGGGTGCCAGAAGACTTTTAGATGTATAGTGTAGGTGTGTATGTGTGTCCTGCTGGTAGTTTGAACTGTTCTGTTGCAGAGCCTGCAGACGAAGCAGCCACTCTTGGCATTCTCTTTGCTTGAGAAAATGCCAAGAGTATGCAAAGCTACATCAAGGGAGAAGCGGGGGCTACTTTGAAGAGTCTAAAATAGAAGGCAGGTTTGGTTTTATTTATAACTTTATTGAAAACAGTAAAAGCAGAGAAGAAAGCGCCTCATACAGTGCTGTGCAAAAGTCTGTTTAATTACCAGCCAAGTACAAGATTAATTTTTTATTGTTAGAAAAAAGCAGCAAGCATACATTAAAAGAAAAATACACAAAATCCTTCAACCCTAAGTATAATATCAAATCTGTCAGTATTTAATTTGTCCACTCTAATTTTATGCACTTTAACTCATCCATCCATCCAATCTTAACCGAGAGACACTAACCTTCACACAAGCAGCTACCCAAACTCACTTTAGCTGCCTTTAAATTTCTTTTTTGTGTGTCTGAAATGCCTAAATGAGATATTTCTATGGAGATGAGACGTAGAATAATCCACTTGTAGAAGGAAGGAGAAAGTCAAAAGTGAAAAAAACAGGTGTTTCCAAAACTTGAGCAAATGATTAAAAGCTACAGGGGCTCCTAACAACCACCTGGAAGACCTGGTAGACACCAAAACTGCCCCCATCAGATAAGCAGCACTTAAAGCTTTCATCTCTGAGAGAGAGGAGAAAATCAAGCTGCTTCAGATCTGAAAACATCCACAGGTGTTTCTGTCCATCCTTCCACTGTGAGAAGACGACTCAGCGCTGTGGGTCTGAAAGGATGTGTAGCTGTTCAAGAAGAACCTCACTGAGAAAAGGAGACGGACACATCAAACAAAGAAGCTGAACAATGGACTGACCACCCCAGAGTCCAGACCTCAACGTCACTGAATGTGTTTGGGTTACTTGGATCGTAAAAAGCAGAAAATAAAACCAATTTTGAAGACTGAACTTTGGAGGTCCCTGCAGATTTCTTTGAAAAATGGAAGGCAAGTCTCCTGAAAAGAATGGAAGCTGTAATAAAAGAAAGACACAGAATAACTTGTACTTAATGGCCATTTTGACTGGAAATTAAATAAATGAAGTATTTTCTCTGAATTTTTGCCACTTTTGTCCAAGAATTTGTCCAGCACTGTACATCCATACTCAGAAAGGTGATGGTGGGAGACATCTTCCTCTAATGACACCAACGGTGATGTAAATTTACATCTTTATCAATGTTGTCAACTTCATTTTACAGCACTGATATACTGTATGTCATTTTCTATGGCTCTGCACCTCCATTACTGACCCTGCCACATGTGCAGCTGATTGGAGGTGTATGTTATTGTGGTTGCTGTAATGGAAGCGTCGCTGATTCTGTTAGCATTGAACCCAGGTGGCCATTAGCTGTGCTGTGTTTTGCAGTATTGCTGTATTGCGCCTGGTTTAACCACAGAGAAATGTCTCCCTGTAGATTATGATCGGGGAGGGCATCCTGTACTGCTGCGTGGCCAGAAGAAACCTCGCCATCAAAACTGAGGCCAACATAAACGCTGCCGGCTGCAACTTTAACTCCTATATCCGCCGGGCTGTAAGGTTTGTGGGTAGGCATTCATTTTTCATGCCCTTTTTTATTATACCACCACTAATAACATTATATTTTAAATAAAGAAGCTGTACCAATACTGAAGCTGGTGCATGGTTTAAAATCATTATTAGATTATTTCCAAGCTATTTATTTGCTCTAAAGATCTGTTATCACTCTGTATGCGAGCAAATACTTGTATGTGTGTTTTTATAGGGGTCCACATTTTTGGCCTGTGTGTCACGGCCCTCATCACAGACATCATCCAGCTGTCCACAGGCTACCACGCGCCCGTACTTCCTGACCGTGTGTAAGCCCAACTACACCTCCCTCAACACCACCTGTGATGAAAACGCTTTCATCATCGAGGACATCTGCTCAGGGTCTGACCCTGTAGCCATCAATGCCGGCAGGTCAGAGAAACACAGAAGTGTCCTCTCACAGAATAGTAGCCTCACGCAGAGCAATTAAAACTTGGTCGCAGTTCAACAAAGGGAAAGTTTACTGTGTTGTTCGTCAAATCCATCAAAATAATCACAAATTTTTCAAATCTTTGCATAATTAAATCACTAAGATGTAAACAGAGTCATTCAGAGTGGTTTGGTGTGAAACGCTCTGTTATAGAGAAACTCGCCAAGCCAGAACTGTTCACAGTGGTGGTGATAGGAACCAGACGTCCACCTCTAAAAGCTCCCTCACAGAAAGTTACTACATGAAATGGTTATGAATTCACTGCCTGATGTCTGAGACTTTGTTTGATTACAGTTTTGAGAACTAAAACAGATTTTGTTAAGTCCACTCATGGTGGAGAGATACATGCAGGGCAAACTTGTCCCCAAAGAAGACTTTTTTGTCATTATTTTACCATCATCTACAGTAAATATATAAACTCAGAAGACTATGTAGGTTAACTGGTTCACTTATTTTTGATAGTAAATAAAATAGATATACAGTTGTTTGCAAAAGTTTGAACACCCCTGATCAAATTATATGTTTTGATAATATTGAAAATAAGAGAACTTGATCCCTGGTGATGCTACAGTCATCCGTGGCCAGAAGTCCAAGTGAGCACAATTGGCCTTGCTCCCTGGGTGGCCTTGCTCCCTGGGTGCCCCGCCCATCACTCAGACACGACACTAGTCAGTGCAGGCATCTGTTAACTGACTTAACAGAACTGGTAGTTGGCGCTTTCATCCTGCGATGTGATTGGCTAGTAATGAGCCACGGGCAGGATTTGTGAGGAAAGTGGGTGGGACCAACTGAGAAAATAAACAACTTAAATATGTCATTTTGCTTTAAGTGCACAGTTTCCATTATTATTTGCTGAGTTTAACATGTTTGAAAACATACAATATAAAATGCATCATAACATTTGCACATTCACATTTAAGGATGTTTTCAATTCAGCATCTTTATACCTCACTGCCCTGCGAAATTAAAGCTGCCTCATTTGCTGTGTTTAAATTCTCACGTTCCAAGTTTAGAAGCTGTGGCTTGTGTTTAATTTCACAATCATCTCTCGTAGTTTGACTCATTACAATTCTGATTAGATAAAAACAGCTCAGATGTGTCTGACAAAACAACTGAGAGTATATTGGTATTTTTGTCTTTTTGGTTTGAGTAAAAAAGTGTGTTAAAGAGTACAGAAGTGTGTCCTCTGTAGATGATGTGTCGGCTTATTTTGAAAATGAACAAATCATGTAAATTGACCAGGAGCACCAAAATGTTTGCATACAACTGTATTTGCATTGTAGATATCATGACCCCGAGTTCCCGTCACCACCACTATAAAGACATGCACGTCACTAAGTTTCTCTACAATGAACCATTTCACATCAGACCACTCTGAATGACTTTGTTTACGTCTCAACCTATTTAAGTGGAATTTACAGTTAAACATGCTGATTTTTCTTACTGTGCCTTTAAGACTGATGTATGTGGGTGACCTCTGTTGAGACTGGCTGTCCTGTATTGTGCCTCATTAAAAACTGGGCTGAGCTGTACAGAACACATTGTTATGTTCCGACAGAAATACATAGGGATGAACTTCAGCCTCTCCTTTTGGATGTGTGGATCCTTTGGAAAGCTGCAGTCGTTTTCCCCCATCTTCCACTGCAGTAACTCTGCTGCAGGTTGTCTGCAGAAACAACACTCTGTATCACTTCAACAGGAATGGGTGGAGCTAAACTGCTATAGAGTGAATGGACAGTTGTTTAACACCACAACCATGATCAGTTCAAAACTGGCTATATTTGCAATTTAGATTGGACTGGTCTTGGATTGAATGTGCCTTAATGTAGCCAGTTATGGTAGTCACAGCGGACCACCTGTCAGGATCTCAGCCAGCTTGGAACAATACTTTTTTATGTCACTAAAAAAGGAAATAGTGTCTTTATAGGGCACTGCCTTGCAAAATTAAAGCAGCCTCAAAACTTCACATTCAGGTGGCTTTGCTATGTTTAAATGCTCACATTCCAAGTTTAGAAGCTGTGGCTTGTGTTTGATTCCTCAATCATCTCTCTGTAGTTTGACACATTACAGTTCTGATTAGCTGAAAAAAAACGCCTCTCATGTCTAAAATAACAATTGAGAGTATATTGATTTTTTTTATTAAGCGCATCCACAGAATGTTCAATAATGCATTCGTCCTCCTGTCTCTCTCACATTTGGCAGTCTGTTGCCAGTTTGTAGGGCGGCAGAGGGAAGCTAGAGAGCGTTAGCACATGCCGTTCTGCGAAGCCCACACAGAGTTCAGTCCTGGTTCGCTTGTGAAGCTCCCACACACCCACACACATCCATTTGCACTGCTCTGCTTTTCAATCCTCGACAGATTTTCCACTCAATCACTCCAGCACAATTAGACCTGTTTTGTTCAGACATCCGGTAGGTAGAGTGTCCTCGGCCCTGTAGCAACATGAAAAGCAGTGCTCATCAGACAAATTAAAAGGGGGATATATATATATATATATATATATATGCCAGAAGAAAACCTGGTATCTCCATTTTTGTCATTTTTGAGTTTTTGATGTAATTTGACAATGTCTGCTGTGCTTTACATTGTATAAAAATTTCATGAAGAATTGGTCGAGAGAAATGGCCCAAAATGACTTGGAAAAAATTCTGGTTCCACTGATTTACATTAAAAGTAAAGTAAGTTTTTTACTTCTCCTGTAAAGTTACTATTTTGGAGATACAAGGTTTTGTTCCAACAACAGCGATATGTATATATATATATATATATAACATTTTTTTTTAAACAAAAAGAAGTTAACACAACCTTTGCAGCTAAAACAAAAACTGCAAATGTTAATGCTACTTTTTTAGTTACTTTACATTTAACACATTTAAAACAAAACATTGAAAAAAATAGTCACTGTGCCATGTGCAAAAGTTTGGACACCCTTCCAGTTGTAAAGTCTCCAATCTGAATGAACTTATTAGGCCTCCAAAGTAGGAGAACACCACAAAAAGTGCTTCAAGATCACAACGTCCACCATCCAAAATGTCATTAACAAATAGCAATTAAGGTGAACTGTGGAAGTCAAGGCAAAATCTGGAAGAAAACTCTCAAAACTGCCTTTTTGCTGGCCAGAAAGGCAAAGCAAAACCCCCATATGACAGCAAAGGAGCTGCAGGAAGGCTTAGCTCACACATGAGTGGTGGTGCACTGTTCTACTGTGTAGCGCAGCTTGAACAAACATGATCTGCATGGAAGAGTCATCAGAAGGAAACCTTCCCTGCAACCTCATCATAAAAGTCAGTGTCTGAAGTATGCAAAACAACATCTTGATAAGCAAGACGCATTTAGAAACAAGTGCTGAGGACTGATGAAGTAAATAGATGTCAATCACTGAAGGTATATTTGGACAAAAAAGGAGCAGCATTTGACGAAAGGAACTCCTTGCCAAGTGTGGGGTGGATCTGTTGTGCTTTGGGGTTGTGTGGCAGTCAGGTGCCTGGGTAGGAAACATTGCATGGGTAGATGGAAGAATGGATTCTGCTAAATGTCAGGAAATTCTGCAGTAAAGCGTGGCAAGAAACTGAATCTGAAAAGAGGCTGGTTTCTACTACAGGACAGTATTTCAAAACACAGCTCAGAATCCACCATGAACCACCATGAAGAAGTACTAGCTGAAGCTTTTGAAAAGGCCCACTTGAACATTATTGAAATTCTGTGGGTAGATCTGAAACATGTGGTGCAGGCAAGGTGGCCCAAGAAAGCGCAGCACTAGAAATGTTCTGTAAGCAAGAAACAGGAATAGAAAGACTCTTACAAAACTCCTACAAAAAGTGTTTGCAAGTTGCATATCTGTCTAAAGGGTTGATATTGAGTAGAGTGTCAAAACTTTTGCACATGCCACAATTTTTTTCTTTCAAATTTTACATTAATCAAATATAAAGTGACTGTGCATTAACGTTTACAGAAAATGTATATGTTTTAAATACTTTTCTGCAGAGGTTTTGTTTACATTTTATTTAAAAAATGATGTTATTTGACCATAAGTGCTGTGTATATATATACAGAAATATATCTTTATGTACAGAGGTGTATTCATTTATGCTGTGAACTGTATACATATACATAAAGATATATTTCTGTTTCTAAATGATCACCATTACAATTCATGGCCAGATGACAAAATTGAAATTTATATTATATATAAAATAACTAAATTAGGCAACTTTGCTTAAAGAAGGGTTGCAAAAATGAGTACACCTTTGATTAAATTCAACAAATATGTAACATACTAGTACTTAATATGTCCTCCACTACCTTTAAGTACTGCACTGACCCTTCTTCTTACAGAGTGTACAAGTTCACAACATACTGTCACGTCTGTCCTGTTCCACTCCTGAAAGATGACCTCCTTGAGTGCCTTGTTGCTTGATGGAGTTCTGCTGAACATGTCTCTTCAACATTCCCCACAGGTGCTGCAGCACTTTCACCTTGTTCTCCCTTAATGCAGCAGTGTCCTTGGAAGAATGTTTGGGGTCATTCTCGTGGTGAAAAAGTGCTCGATGACCCAAGGTGTGGAGAGTGGGTGGCATCTTCTCTTTCAGGATTTTGCAGTACATCTAGGAGTTCATGATGCCATCGATGAAGCACAGTTCCCCCACACCTTTAGCACTCACACATCCTAAAATAAGATCTTTAACACTGCTGGACGTCACTGTGATGAGCATGCACTTCTCACCACACTCCTCCACCATGTATCGTCATACATTTAAGATGCTACCAGATCCAAACATTTATATTGGTCTCTTCAGACCAGGATATGGATTCCCAAAAGTCTTGAGCTTCATCATTATGAGTCTTGGCAGAAGCTAAATGGACTTCCTTGTGCTTTGGCTTTAGCAGTGGCCTCCTGTATGGACAATAACCATTCCACTTCTATGCTGGATGCTTTCTCACTGTGTGTAATGAAACAGTCTCTCCGGTTTGGCTTGCCACAGCTTTCGCCAGCTTGGAGGCACTTGCTCAGAGATCCTCCTTATCTCAGCAAAACTCACTCATCACGAGGTGGAAGCTCACTTCTGCATTACTTTTGGTGCTGCGTTCCGCCTTAATAACAGTGATTTGCTGATCTTCTTTGTACCCTTGTCGTCTTTTGTGCAATGAAATAATTTTCTTTCTCCAGCCTCCAGACATTCTCTCCCATGTGGGGCCATTGTTGTCGGCATTAAGTCTGAAAGTGATTCAGTGGGTTAAGTACCACTTCAGATTGTCAAGCAGTTGCACCTGTTTGAGTGTGATGGCTTAACAGACACATCTGCTGATCAGCTCACCTTAACTAGCACCAGAAGACATTCGCCTGTTTAGTGTTGACATGTTTCTTTGGTAACTTTGGTTTTATGTGTATATATATATATATATATATATATATATATATATATATATATATTTATATACACACATACATCATCTAAACCGCTTATCCTTCTGGGTCGTGGTGGGCTGCTGGAGCCTATCCCAGCTGTCATTGGGCAGAAGGCAGAATACACCCTGGACAGGTCGCCAGTCCATCGCAGGGCAGGCAGACAGACAGACATACACACACAATCACACACTTAGGGACAATTTTAGCAAGTCCAATTAGCTTAACTGCATGTTTTTGGACCATGGGAGGAAACCGGAGTACCCGGAGGAAACCCACGCAGACACGGGGGTCACCCAGCCGGGAATCGAACCCAGGCCATTGTTGCTGTGCCGCCCCTATATATATATATATATATATATATATATATATATATATATATATATATATATATATATAGAAAATGTTTTCTTGCGATCTCAAGTTATTTGTATAGTCATGATATAAAAAAATAGAATGTTTACTTTTATTGCTTTATTGTTCTATCAACATAATATTCGTTATGTTGTGATAATGACACAAATGTCTCGAGATCTTAATACTTAATATAAAAAATGTAAAAACATTATTTACACAATACCTCTTCATACAAAGAAAGATACTTTGATGAACATTGAAGCAAAATTTACAAAATATATTAGCAAATGATTGTTTTATGTCTTATAATTGTCACTTTTTTGAAAAATAAAAGTGAAAATAAAACATTAGTGAGAAATTTTATTAACACTGCTACATAATCATGCCATTAACATGTCATGGTGGATATTATATGCTGTCAAGACAGATTTTGTTCATCATTACCATTAATTGTCATGACAGATGCCATGATGTTTGATGTCTTATGTTGCATGCTAATTTTTTGTCATGACAACTTACCTACAATGGTAACATGACTCTTTCATGACAACTTTTGACAGCATATAATATTGTGGCGTGTTTAAGAAATGTTGACATGTTGATTCTCGGTTAGTTACAGCATTTGTTGCAATTTTTTGCTGGGTTATTCTATAAGGACTCTTATTGTGAAGGCGGGGATGGCCTGCTGGCTGGAGTAGATCAAGAAGAAATGAGAATCAGTCTAATGCTGACAGCTGAGAGAGTAAGATGTAGCAAGGCTAGAGCGAACTGAATGCACAGCATGGCAGTGGCCAGCAACAGCTGGTTAATAAAGCACCATGACTTGTATGAAAGCTGTGTCTCCTTTAATAGCGGCCAATGCTGCTGTACCTACAATGATATGTTTATGACCTGGTTATGTCAGAGTTTTGTTGCAAGGTTTAAGTAAAGTGTTACCAGAGTTTTTTAGTATAAGGTGAGGTGTCTCCATACGGTGTGTACATATGTAACAGACAAGGCGTCTGTAGATGGAGCTGCCCTTCATGGTAGATTTGCTAGCAGAGTCAAACTGATGGGTCCTCAGTCAAGCGGAAGATAAGCGCGTGCATTTGTCGTTGCAGGAAGTCTTTTCCATCTCAGCACGCCACCCTGGCTGCCTTCGCTGCGGTGTACATCTCAGTAAGTATTCCACTTGACTCACACACAACACAGCTCACGCGTTCACCTTCGCTCTCTGTGTTCTCATTACGTCAGCCTTGATCATAAAATTGATCATAACTTTGATTCTCAGTTTTGATTCATCTCACTCCTTTTCTTCTTCCTTTAAATAGACCCAAATGGAAATCTGATATATAGCCATATATACACATTTATTATGAAGGATTAGACATGTATTTTAAAATATATGGTCATATATGTAGTGCATATATATGCAATCATCAAATGTTGAACATATAGGCATAATATATGGATCGTACATACATGTCAGGTTGGTGGGTGAATACATACATGCATATAATATGGATCATACAATTATTTCTGATTGATAGGTGAACACAATGCATATAATATGGATCATACAAATATTTCTGATTGATAGGTGAACACAATGCATATAATATGGATCATACATATATGTCTGATGGTGGGTGAATACATTAATGCATGTAATATGGATCATACATATATGTCTGATGGTGGGTGAATACATTAATGCATGTAATATGGATCATACATATATGTCTGATTGGTGGGTGAATACATTAATGCATATAATATGGATCATACATATATGTCTGATTGGTGGGTGAATACATTAATGCATATAATATGGATCATACATATATGTCTGATTGGTGGGTGAACACATTAATGCATGAAGTATGGATCATACATAAATGTCTGATTGGTGGGTGAACACATTAATGCATGAAGTATGGATCATATATATATACTGGATGTCTGATACAAACGTCTGATAAAGACGTTTGGATGTCTGGATGTCTGATAAAAAAGTTTTTTTTAAAGCAAACAATCTAAATGACAAGAAACATACATAACATAAAGCTACCCATATATGAGCAATATATTCCACCCATATATGAACAATTTCTATCATACATCTTTAAATATGCATGTTACATATATATGTCTTTAACACATTAAATATGGCTGAAATATATGTCCCATGTTTGAAAACATCCAATACGTTGGCATATATATCACATATGTTCATCCATATGTGACAAAATCTAATCTGGATATAAGGGAAGTTTATATATGCTAATAAATGTCACATATTTTAAATCCATATATTGCTATAGATCAGATTTCTGCTTGGGGATTGTATGCTGAAAGTGTCTCTTATGCTGCTCAGGCTAAACTTCTGTGTTAATTGGGTAAAAGACGTCTGGTCACAGTTTAGTTTGATATAAAAGGTAGAGTTCATGTACAAATGCGCAAAATGGTAATGCAGTGTATCTGGTGAAAACTGACTGATTATCAACAGTGTTGAAGTGAGAGTTAGATTTAGGCTTAGATCTTGGTTATATCGAAATTACATTAATTTCAATGGGATTCGGAGTGATGAGTCATTTTGCATCCCAAACTTTCAGGCCAAAATTTTGCATCAAGTTCAACGTGACCAGTAACGTTACTGCTTTAGCTGCAGTGGCCTCTGAAGGACGGGTCCTCCAAAATGAAGGAGAAACCCGCTGGAGTTTATTATCATTAGGAGTGTTTAAGCAAGATCCTTCAAACATTTAGCAAATTTTTGATATGATATACAGTCAGTTGAGGGACAGAATAATTATGTCTACTTTTATGGTTTTACTGTTTGTGGCAGACAGGTTAGCCAGAGTGCTATGTTAGCTCCCTGGCTAACAAACAGCTGCACACAAGTCGCCACTGTAACCCACCATGCCAGTTATCTATATACTTTTTTTTTTTTTTGCTGCAGATCATCATGCTGTGTTAGATGTTTATGTTGTTACTGTTCATGGTTAGTGAATTATAACTATAACCAGCTTGCTAACTGCACCAAAGTGAAGGATATTCGACTCCAGCCTCATGTTGTGTTCATGACAAATGGATGCTTGGAATTTTCCATCTTGGAATTTCCTGCTTCCTAACTCAAAGCATTCGTGTACAATACAGCTGTTTGAGGTCAGGAAAAATGGATGCTCACAGTAACCTAGCACTTGTTTGGCTGTTGTGTGCATATAAAAAACTATTTACAGCATTTACAGTTGAATTAAATAGCTGTTTGGTTAGTGCTTCATTTATTTTTAAAGAATATGTAGGTAATGGCAATTCAACATTAATGTAGCATCAAAAAATAACCCTAAAGCATGCAGCTTAACCTTACAGTTATCCCAGTATTCCCTACTGAAAGACAGCATAGTCCAGCATATGTCGTGTTTCTGGATGCTGGCCATGCTGGGTGACCAGCTGGTTTATGCTGGTCTGCTGCTGGTTTAGCTGGTCATCCAGCATATCCAGCACCCAAAAATATAACATATGTTGGATTTGCTGGTGTCCAGCCATGCTGGCCTATGCTGTTTTTTTCTATCAGGGTCCCCCTGTGTTAATCAACATTATACACCAATAGCATATAATACATAAACAGAAGCTTAAACGTCTGTTTAAAATGCTTAAAGCATGCTACTCCTTCTTGTTCCATGAGCATTGCCAGGAACTGCTCATGGCCCCCGGAGCTACAGGCGGTCATGGGCCCTGTGGGTCTAATTACACCCAGCATCCAAAAACTTAAAACTTCTGCTTTTAATGAAGATGCACACACTGCCACCACCAGTCAGCAACTTCCAGCACTGCCATTCAATGCTAAACCCAGAACCAAACCTCTAAAAGCCATAGTTGGTCAAGATTTGAAATTTGCGCTGAGAAGCCAAAGTTTGCTGCTTTTTCACCGGGTTCTTTTTCAAAATGCATGTTTCATCTTAAATGGTGCTACAGTTACATTGAGGGGCCTGTAACTGGTGCACCTTTTAAGCTGATACATAAAATTTGAATAAGAAGCTGGCAAACAGGAAGCCAGTTTCAGCCTCACTCAAGCCTTTTAGCTCAGAAAAGCTGCTAGCTAACAAAGCCCTTGAGAAATCCATTAAATTAACCAAATTGATATTTAGAAAACCAACACTGCTTCATTATAAAGTATGCATTCGCTCACCACAAGCACACTTACCCAGATAACTTAAAACCAGGCAGTTGAGATGTAACAGTGTGCGGAAAAACCTAAACCTGATCATCCTGGGGTAACGCACACTGCCACAGTGGGCAAACCCAAAGAAGATGACGTGACTGGCAGCTGAGATGAGCAAAGACGAGGAAAAACAACACACCAAACAAGTCTAACCTAACCTAACGTAAAACTAATCCCAATAATCAAAGACAAAAACATTCATGGTCTAAAAAATGTTCATGGTCCATTCCTGTCTTACCTTTGATGCACTAAAGTAACATTCGATGTTTGCTTTGACATTTTCACAAAGCCCATTTCAGCCAAAATAGTATTGTAAGTCGCAAATTTGTGGAAAACTGAAAATGCCTTTTTTTGGCTAGGTAAAATAACGTCATGCTCTATAGGACAGAATCTCACTTTTGATCATACCCACTTTTAACTGCAACTGGAGCTTCAAATGTGCTGTGCAGTGATTGGAGGGCTGACAAAAAGATGTCTTAGTTTGGCTGAGAGCGTAATGATTTGATTGGCCATAATACAACAACAGCAGTCACAGAAAACAGATCAAATTTAATTATCGTTAAAAAATCAGCTTATTAAAATATTCTTTCCTCATTTGACTGGGTAGGCCTGTGATCAGTCTGGGTAGATCCAGTTGGTATAGAATAATTTCTCAGGGCCTCTGGGCTCTTTAATGGTTAAGCCCATTAAATCACCCCTTGGCGCCGACTGTGGCTTTAGAGTGAGTGTTAGGTTTAGGTTTAGGGAAAATGATTAAGATGAATTTAATAGATAGATTCAGATGAATATAGGATGAAAACATGGTGTGCATCTGCTACAGTAGCAATCAAGAACGTTGTGTTGGAGGAAGGGTAAGGGCACTAACTGTACAGCGGGGTGCTTTCTGTCCTCAGATGTATTTCAACGCCACACTGACTGACTCCTCAAAGCTGCTTAAACCCCTGCTGGTCTTCTCCTTCATCATGTGCGGCGTCATCTGTGGCCTGACCCGCATTATCCAGTTCAAAAACCATGCCATCGACGTCTACTGCGGATTTCTCATCGGGGGAGGAATCGCTATCTACCTGGTGAGTTCAGGGGGATCGGAGGTGCAGATTTTCCATTTGTACTGTTCAACAACCAAAATTATTCATATTTGGATTTAAAAATTTTTGATTTGTAAGTGACATTAAGGGTAGAAGGGTATTAGTTTAGGCCTCCTGATCCCAATAACATTACTACTATAATTACCACTATTCTTACTCCTAATAATGTAAATATTATTATTATTATTATTATTATTATTATTATTGTTGTTGTTAGTAGTAGTAATAGTAGTATGTTGCAGATGTGTCGAAAATGCAGAAATTATGCTAACTCGTTACCACAATATCACATTACCACAACACTGTAGTGTTGATGAATATAAATATCTGATCTATATCTACAACATGTCTGTAAATGTCTCCTTGTAAAGGATAATTCCACCAGGTTTTTAAAAATTTGCGCATAATTTAATTATTGAGATGTAAACTAAGTTATTCAGAGTGATTTTGATGCAAAATGGTTAATTTAGAGACTCATATCTTTACAGTGGTGGTGATAGGAACCAGGGGTCAAAATTACTACAACACAAATATAGACATTTTATTTACTATCCAGAACCACCAGTGAACCTAAATATGAAAAAATAGTGATAAATCTGAAAAATATGGTTCCTTAGGAGATTTTGCCATAGTGCCCTGCATCTACCTCCTCACAATGAATGGATTTTAAGGAATCTAATTTTTCATAGCAAATCCTCATCTCAAATGTAGTGTAAAACAATGTGTGAGATATCAGGCGTCGTATTTATAACCATTCATGTTATAACTTTCTGTGAGTGGGGCATTAAACTCTTCCGACGTCTGGTTCCTATCACCACCACTATGAACAGTTTTAAGTCTGTACGTTTCTCTAAAATGGAGCATTTCACATCAAACCACTCTGAATGACTTTGTTTACATATTAACAGCTTAATTATGCAGCACTTTTGAAAAATCCATGAAATTTCGCTTTAAGCTCTTTCTGTCTTTCTCTCTCTCTCTCGCTCTCTCTCTCTCTCTGCTCTCATTTCTCGTTCTCTATATCTGTGGAGTCTCTCCACCAAAATCCACCTCACGTCTGCCTAATGAAGTGAGAGGAAAAGCACCACATATTCAGATTAAGCTCATTATGTCTGATAAATATAAAATATATTTATAAAATCCTGCTGAAGAGCACCACTGGACTCTCAGATGGTCTCCTGTGTCCGTCATAGCTGAGTGTGTTTCTGCTGAGCCCTGAGTTAGTGAGGAGGATCTGGGGAGGTTCTGTGCAGAGTGATGAGACAATGCTGTGTTTAATGGGTTATAAATAGCCTCTATGCAAATCCCGCGTGGCTGTTTTCCTGCCGTCCTCCCACGCACTCCTCCGTGAGTTTTCTCGCTCTGCCTGGTGGAGCTGTTCCCTGGGCCCTGCTGCTGCTCTCTGATCTCCAACATGCTGATCTAAGTAAACCTGATCTTATAACTCTCCTCCAAGTTTAGGAAAAGAGTGCATATTGTCCTGCTTTTTTGGCCTTTGCTATGAGCCAGTTTACAGCAGCGAGCATGGATGGATTTATTGCTCACTGACTCACCGTAGATTCACTGCACATTCTTCATAAAGCCATAAATGAGTAGTTCTCACATGGTAACCTGAAAGACCCTCTGTACCAGAGGTGTAGTCTACGTGGTACTCAGGCCTACACCATATATCACTAGGAAACTACCACAGTTTGCATATACTCACTTAAAATGCTCATTGATGCTTAGGTGAATGGTAAATAGGCACAAGAAAGGAAAGTAGCAAGCCTTATTCGGAAAAGCTGCTGATGAACTGAAGACAAAGCCTTACGGTGAACTACAAAAGCTAATCACATGGGTTTTCTTTTGATAGCTACAAGATCCCTGTTGAAAAACCAGCATAGACCTGCATAGCAAATGTCATGCTTGGATGCTGATATACTGGTCAACCAGCATGACCATGCTGGGTGATCAGCTAAACCAGAACAAGACCAGCTTTAGACCAGCATATATTTTTGAAATTACTCACCATATTATCGTTTTTTGTTATTTTATACAATAATAAAACTTCTACAATGTGGACTTACAAATAATATAAATAATAAATTATTCACTAAAAGGTATTTTTAGATGTCTTATTCAGTATTTCAAGTATTCAATGAACAAGACGTTATTAAATGATAAATAATATACTGTAATTATTTCCTTATTATTATTCTGTATTTATTTATTTATTTATTTATTTATGTACTGTTTACATGCATGTCGGATGTGTGTGTGTGTGTGTTTATTTGGAGGGGTGCACCCACTGCTTCAGACTACAGCACTACACAGCTTAGTTTGATTCAAGCTTAAGATCAAACCCTTCATGACTTTAAGTGAGTACAGTGAGAGCATTACTGTGTAGACTCTAGTAGACATTGTAACAATATGAGGAGGTCTGTCCTACAGCCGTTTAAAATAATGTCTCTGACTGGGTGTACAGTAAGTAAAGACCCCTTACAGTATCAATACCTGCTTACTACTTACATCAGCAAGCATGGTTTTGTGCACCGTAAGGCTGTCAGTGTTTTATTTGTCTATGTTTATTTTCTATATATACTTAATTCTTTATAATAAATTTCCTTATGATGATGCAGGTTTGTTGTGACAGTAGCCGTTAGTGCTTCACAAAGTTACTGGGATAAGAACAGTCATCACATTTGAAGTATTTTTTACAATTTTTGAGCAGTTCTGTGCAGATGTTTTGTAATCAGCTGTGTTGATGTTTTGTAATCAGCTGTTTCAGCCAAATGGTTAAATCACTTGTAGTTCTACAGTTACAGACTGTAGTCCATCTGTTTCTCTGCATACTTTGTTAGCCCCCTTTTACCCTGTTCTTCAGTGGTCAGGACCCCCATGGACCCTCACAGAGCAGGTACTATTTGGGTGGTGGATCATTCTCAGCACTGCAGTAACACTGACATGGTGGTGGTGTGTTAGTGTGTGTTGTGCTGGTCTGAGTGGATCAGACACAGCAGTGTCACTGCTGGACTGAGAATAGTCCACCAACCAAAAATATCCAGCCAACAGCGTCCTGTGACCACTGATGAAGGACTAGAGGATGACCGACACAAACTGTGCAGCAGCAGATGAGCTATCGTCTCTGACTTTACATCTACAAGGTGGACTGACAAGGTAGGAGTGTCTAATAGAGTGGACAGTGAGTGGACACAGTGTTTAAAAACTCCAGCAGCACTGCTGTGTCTGATCCACTCGTACCAGCACAACATACACTAACACACGACCCCCACGTCAGTGTTACTGCAGTGCTGAGAATGATCGACCATAAAATGATCCTCCATAAAATGGACAATGAGCGTAAAAGCAAGGAGGTGGTCATAATGTTATGCCTGATCGGTGTAGGTTGGCAGTCAGGATCGGTTGCCACCACAGGGATTGCCAATGGTTGTATGATGTATTTGCGTAATGTATGCTGATAATAGTGAACAATAATATAATAGTGAAAGAACGCTGATAAGGAAAAACAATTATATTGAAAACAATATAAAATCCCTGTGCCCTGTGATGGACTGGCGACCTGTCCAGGGTGTATCCTGCCTTCCTCCCAATGACAGCTGGGATAGGCTCCAGCACCCCAGCGCAACCCAGAAGGATAAGCGGTTTAGATGATGTATGTATGTATGTACAATATAAAATCATGAATTCTGTCAAACCGATGAGTCTGAAGGTCACGATGCCTAAGGTGACAAATAACTTTAAATGCTAGTTTTAGGCTGGAATGGCCTTTATCACTTTGTAATTCTGCTTCAGACAGTGGTTCCCAATCCTTGTCTTGGGGACCTCATGCTTTGCACATTGTTGTGTATTCCCTGCTCTAATATACCTGACTGAGCTCATGGAGGGCTTAATAATTAGCTGGTGAGTGAAATTACATGTATTAGATTAGGGGAACAGTGCTGAGCGTGCCCAGAGCTGGGACTGGATGTAGAGTAATGATGATGACTTTGTGTTTGTGCTGCAGGGTCTATACGCAGTGGGGAATTTTAAACCCAGTGAAGACACGTCTCTCCGCCAGCATCATCACCATCACCCCCTCCCTCACCTGCGCCCTCCACAGCCTCACCAGCCTCAGCCTCCACCCATGCAGCTCCCTGCCCAACCGCAGCCTGTCATGCCCCCTCCGGCCCTCCGGGAACCCCTGCGGCAACTGCCTAACCTCACCACGGACCATCCGCGCTTCCTGCAGCCCAAAAGCCTGAGCGTGAGGGAGCGGCCCACGTCAGCCCGCTCCGAGAGCATCTTGCTGCGCGGGCCGCAGCGGCACAGTGACTCCCTTACCAGCCTGAAGAGGGCCAGCACCGAGGTGGAGTGTATAACACCCCCCAGCCCGATCTGCAAGGAGAGCCTGGTGACCTTCAGCAACACACTGCCCCGCGTCCACTCAACAGTAAGCAAACATATTGTGTGGTAACAGTTCGCTTAATACTGCTTTTTGAAATAGTAGGGACTTTAAAGAGGAATTCTAATGATTTCTCAATTTTCATTTCCATATAATTACCATATAATTGCATTGTTAATGTGACAAAGTCATATGGTGTGGTTTGATCTGAAATGCTCCAATTTGAAGAAACTTACCGTGGCAGAATTGTCACCACTGGTGACCCCCCACCCCCACACACAAACACCCACACACTCCATCACAGAACATCACAAATACCACATTTTATATACTCTTAACTAACTTACAACAACAAAAACAGCATAAATATTCTCTATGCGGAGCTAGTCTCGTAGCTACATAGCCCCCCCCTTCAAAGGTCAGCTGGTCGCTGGTCACCTACCAGCTCAAGCCAAGCTCACAACCCCAGCAAACACAAAACCGTGGGGCACCCATGGCTGCGGCTCTGCCTCCACCACTGGTGACTGACATGAGCTGGACGATGGTCACCTTTGAGCTGGGTGCTGAAGTCTTTGACGGTTCTGCTTGCACTTTCACCGGCCCCTCTCTTGCCGCCACCACCATCATGCCTCGCCACTCTGACCACGCTGCTAGGCCTTCCCGCACTCAACGCTGCTATGTCCACCTCACCACTGAGTCTGTTTGCGCTGGCTCCAGCCTTGCTACACTGGCCTCGTCGCCAAGCCTCACCACGGAGCCTCTCAACATTGTCTCCAACGTCACAGACTTTCACCGGGTTCTGCCTCTCACGTCACTCACTCAAGGTTCTTGAAGCATCATTTCTCCCCAGACTGCTGGGGGGTGCTATCCCGCTCCTGACCACAATGTGATGTTGGCAGAAAAGAAGAAACGTGGGTGGCCATGATCTGCTACCAGAAAGTCCTTTTTAATGACACACCAACAGTAAAGGCACATAACAAGAATCAAACTTGAAGGAGAGGTCACAACTAACCACTGGCGTCACGCTACTAGTGACCCCCCCCTCCACACCCCAACACAGAACATGACAAATAACACATATCACGAACTTTCAACTAACAAACAGTGACATAAACTACATAAATAGTGCCTTTGTTGGGGGGTGTGCATCTCCCATGATCTTTAATACATGGCCACGCCTCCCAAGCTTATTGGAGCCAGTGCCAGCCAGTAGCGGATCGCTACAATAAAAAAACAGACATCTCAATGTTTTGCAAAAAGCTGTAAAAGCTCCATCACAGAAAATTATTACACAAAATGGTAGCGAATGCGGTGCCTGATGCCTGAAACATTCTTTTATGATAGTGTTGAGATGAGATTTCGGCCCAAAATGTATTTTTAAGATCCATTCGTGGTGGAGAGGTACACACAGAGCACTGTAAGGTGAAAAGAAAAGAGTACCCAAAGAAGACTACGATGTACCATTTCATGTCAAGCCACTTTGAATGACTGTTTACATTTCAGCAGTTTAGTTATGCAGTAATTTTGAAAATTCCTGCATAATAATCCTTGTTAAAACGTGAACAGATTGTCTGGCTACTTTGTATTAGCTTGGCTTCCAGTTTGGCACATTTTGAATAGGATCATCTCCTGAATTAATAAGAGTAAGATCATTTTTTGCAATATAAATCCTGTCTGATATTTTGTTTCTCGTGTCATGTAGCCCTTCCCCACAGCTGTAGAGGAGCCCGTCCCCCGGCGGCACGCCTCCATCCATGCCTCCATGGACTCCACGCGTTCCAAGCAGCTGCTCTCGCAGTGGAAGAGCAAGAACGAGAACCGCAAGCTCTCTCTGCAGGCCATGGAGGTGGAGGTCGATCCAAGCCGTTCACCCCAACGCTCCATGGAGCTCCGCTGCAGCTCTGAGCCAGCCGCCATGGGCATGGACATCGGCCCCCAAGCCAGCCAGTACATGAAGCTGGCGGCTAGCTCTGTGCCACTGGCCAATCACAACCATAACGGAGTTGGAGGGTTAGTGGGCGGAGCCAGAGTGTCCATCCAGTCGCGGCCGGGCTCCTCTCAGCTGGTGCACATCCCAGAGGAGACGCAAGAAAATGCCTGCTCTTCTCCGCAAGAGGACAGCGGAGAGGCTAGCGATGGCGGAGGAGGGGGACGAAATGCGGCCCGATCAAAATGGATGAAAGTGGCGGAAAAGAGTACCGTCTGCAGGACTAACAGCCAGCCGCGCATTATGCAGGTGATTGCAATGTCCAAGCAGCAGGGAATGCTGCACGGAAGCCCAAAGAGTGAAAGCAGCGCACTTAGCTGCACCGGATCCATCCGCTACAAGGCCCTGATGGACCAGGAGCCCAATGCAGCCGTTGTGCATGTGGAAGCACACCCAGAAGACAAACCTATTGTAAAGTGGACGGCGGAGGCTCCTGGAGGTGGAAGCCACCCCAAGAGCGAGGCAGCGTGCGCCAGTCCTTCGAGCTTAACGACCTCAACCGGGACTCAGAAAGCTGCGACTCCCTCAAAGACGGCTACGGCTCAATCGACGGCCAACGCAGCCTGCCGGACATGAGCATGCCCCCTCCTCATCACCATCCTCACTTCCACCACCACCACCATCCCCCCCACCCCCACCAGCAGGGCATCACCACCATCCGAGTGACGCCTGTGGAGACGAGCAGCGAGGCCGCCTCCGAGACGCTGTCGATCGCCTCCAGCCGAGACTCCACCCTCCAGCGCCGCAAAAACAACGTCAGCGTCAACGTGGTCCTGCTACCAGACAGAGGCCCCAGCCCGGACAACACCAGGAACCTGCCGCACTTTTTCAAACCCTCTCCCACGCCCCCTCCCACTGTGACCTTCAAAGAGTGAGCTCGGACTCATCTTCCTCTTCTTTTCCCATATTTTCTGTTCCCGGAGTGGCCTTGCTCTATTACTCACAGTTCTCTATAGGGACAGATGGGAGCTAATACTGGATATCTCCATTGCCCCCCATTCTGACGGCCAGCTGGCTCCCTCTGACCCATGTAAGGCAGCGTTGCGCATTTTCCCTGTTTTTTGCCAGACTGTGACATTGAGAAAGCACAAAAACCCTTTTCTTTTTCCCCCCCGAGGCTCCTTGGTCATGGTGGTTTTGTGATTTGACTTATTCGACTGTATTGAGTTTTCAGTTTTATAATCACTCCTATCATACATGAAGAGACTTTAGTGTCGATGCTACCTAGACAGTGTTTTTTTTTAAACTCTCATTGTCCTTAATGAACATATGTGTTGCCTCAGACAACAACATGTGGGTGCTTTTGAGAACTAGTTTCATACCATATTCCAGTGTGAAAATACCTATATATTTTTTTCTATGTAAATATTTGTAATGGATCATATTATTCAGCCTCATTATAAAATAACTGCTAATGATTAATAATTATCTTTACAGAATTGCAAGTACTGGTAACACGACCACAGGGCAGTGTTCATAAGGCTACATGACACCTACATAAGCATGGCATGACAACTGACTTAAACCTTCATAAACACGAGCATGTACATGAAGCTGGTATGTTCATGAACAGTGCAGTAACGTGCCTTTACAGTTACATAATCATTTTGAAACACCATTAATGAGTGACGAATAAATAATGCAATGGAGTGAAAACAATAATTGATGCTTAGTGTATACGTGATGATATGATCATAATTATGAAACGGATAGTTCCGGTCCTAAAATCTGATTGGCTGAGCTGCATTTGAAGTCGTTGAAAAATACACAATATACACACCTATGGCCACCTCACAGCAACCGGACTGTGTATCACTGCGCCACATCCTTGTGCTGTTAATAGATTAATCTTTGACTCTCATGCTGCTTGCATGGACCACCGAGTGTACTGATGAAGAACCCGTTTTTTGTTAGAACTGAGGGGCTGACTGCTTGTTTTCTAAACTAGAACTAGGCTGGTCAGCTAGCTAACAGGCTAAAATATAGCAAACAGTCTAGGCTTGAATTAAAGCACTTACAGTATGATTCACTGTAAAATGGCAGTATATAAGTCAATATGTCATTTGAATGACTTACACTCCTCAATGCCTGTGTTTCAGTCAGAGGTAGTGTCAAACCCAGGCTGAATCCCAAACGGCACCATACCGCCTAAATAATGTTCTAGCTGTGAAAGTTTAGAAATTCCAGCCTCTACAGCCAAATACTGCATCACTTGTCAAGTATGGATGCTGCTGAATCCCAGATGACTGTTTCTTAGCTGTATTTTGCTCTGTTGGGCTGCAGGATCCAGTATTTAAATTCTTACGTAGTGCACTACATAGGGAGCAGGGAGCAATTTGAGACTCACCCCAGCGTGAGAAGAGGGGCACCGCCGGATTGCTGCTAAATAAGACTCGAGGTGGTAATTTGGTGACCAAAAAGTACTTATAAATCGAAGGTTTTTGCATTGAACAGTGCTGTGTTATCATACGTTAATGAAATGACAGTAATACAGCGATGGGCGACCAAACAATTTCCTCATTCAGCGGTCCATGGATGCTTGGCGATGATAACATACTCTAGGAACTAAGGATCTACGATTCTTGGAGGAATACTTGTTGATTATCATTAATAACAACTTCAATTATTTTCTGAAAAATTGAGTACTTCATCAGATTTTATGTTGGCCTCCACTTGGCATCGTGCCTAAGAGCACCCTTACCTGGGCTAAAATTGCTGTAACACACTGCCCCTCATGACTTATTGCTGTAATATATTTCCAGGGAACAAATTTGTCAAACACATTATGTTCAAAAGATACCCTATTAAAAGATATCCATAATGAAAATATCATGAGGTGTACACTAAACATCACTGAGTGTGCTTTCAGTTCATTACATTATATGCTCAATAGTCATTAACAAATGTGTTTAACAGATATTTCAAAAATGATTATGTAACTGTAATGCAATCATACTGCATAAACCGCAGTTTATGAATATGCCATGATTGCTTCATGTATATGCAGTTCCTGTAAAGCGTTACTAAACATTTATAAAGGCTTATTCTACAGGCTTCATCTGTCATGGAGGCTGCTTTTCTTTGTTTTCACATTGTTTTCAGGTTCATATAGCAAAATAGCAACATAGCAAATGTAACCTTTATGACACATAGCATGGAGTAAGTCTTTATGTGTGTTCATGTAGGTCTATGGAGGGCTGTTTCTGGCCATTTGGGGGCCCTAAACAGGATTTTTTGGGTGGGCCTCCAGCTTGTTAGCTGATTGTTAAAGGCAGTTAATCCCTTAAATAGCCAGAGCCCAGCATTTTATTACACACCTCTATAACCTAAGAATAGCTCAGCCAGTTTGCACTAAAGTCCCTGTAGTTACTAAATAATAAGCCTTAGTATGTAACAAGCCTGGGGTTTAAAGGAGTTAAGGGCTAACTAATACAAATAACTACCACAGCCTGTCTGAATTATGTACATTTATAACTCGCTAATTTGTGTATTATTGATGATTCAATGCTCGTTTTGGGTTCTAAGAAGTTTGAATTACAGATAACTATCTCTGCATTCGTGATCCAGGTAAACATCTGACCTATCACACCAATCTTGCCTTGGTGGCAGCATTGCTTTTTAGTTATAAATGTGCTATTTTCTATATTTAGGAGGTCGAATTTCTTTTAACTTCATTAGTGATTCCTCCTTATGTCATATGATAAGCTGTTTATCAGAATCAGAATCAAGGTTTATTGGCCAGGTATGCTTACGCATACATGGAATTTGGTTTTGGTTACAGGAGCTCACAGTGCCCAGTACCAGACAGACAATTACATGTTGTGAATAAAACAAAAGAAATATAAAAAATAACAAAATAAAATAAAACATGCTTTCCTGCCATCACTCACTAAAGTTAAAGTGCTGAGTGCAGCAGCAGTTAAAGGGTGTACAGTGGCAGAGAAAGGGATCAGTGAGGTGACGGTCCGATAAGTGGGGTAATAAGGCAGGTAAGTAGGTATCATAAACGTTGTGCTTTCACTGGCCCAAGGATTAATCACAGTCTGAGCATCTAAACCTGGATTAACAGAGAAAGTTGTGAACAACTGTTATTACTTGAGTTAACCTCATCTGTGTTTGTTGGTTTAGTGAAATTGAAACACAGTCAGACAGGCTAAGTCGAACCTGCTTCGTTAGACAGACCCCAGACCCGCTACTTCTTCTTGTCCAAATATAAGCCAAAATAAAAGGCATAATGTTAACACAAAAAAACAAAAACTTTTTCTCCTTAGCTTCCTTTCCTTTATTTGTTTTTTGGCTTCAGATGCATACGTTCTTTTCAAATCATGATTAACTAGCCGCTTTTTCCTCTCACTCGAGCATCTCAGACAGCATAACGGTGCAGTGATAACACAGAAATGGTGGGGGGGCTCCTTGGAGGCCACGCCACCCTAAGCAGCTGCTTATGTTGCTTATTAGGTAGACTGGCACTGGGTCTACGTCGCTTGTCATGAATGCTTATGTAGGTGTCATGAAGCCTTCTGAACTCTGCCCTGCAGTAAAGTGTTAGCCACGTACTTCAGACCTGTCGCTTTTAGAACAGTAGGGAACATAACTGTAGATGTTTACAGAGAGTCAACTTATATAGTGGATTTACCAAATGATATGGCACAGAGAGGGGGCGCTTATTTTAGTAGCCCATACGCACTGTATGAGGTGAAAAATGGAATAAATGAGTTATAGTTATTTAGCTAGTAGAAAGTGCTCTTTGATGGCTTTGAGACAATGAATTTATAGAAAAGATTTTGCCTTAAGCTGGGCGTCAAAACGCAAGAGAAGATTCAGACACGCCTCACATTACCTGCCTTTTAAACAGTAAACAGTAGATTCACATACTGTACCATCATTCATTTTATTCATCTTATCTCTCAGTGCTGGGAAAAATATTATTTGCCCCTTCCCAATTTCTTCTATTCTTTGCATATTTGTCACACTTGAATGTTTCCGATCATCAAACTACTTTTAAGATTAGACAGTGAGTGTGTTTACATGCACTCAGAAATCAGATCACAATCAGATTTCTGCAATTATCTGATTATTCAAATGGTCATGTGAACAGCACACTCTGATTTCTTAGATTGGAGTAAGGTTTAGAAATCAGATTAAGAAATCTGATAAAGAGAGCTGGATTTTAGCTCAGTAATCAGATTTCTCAGTGCATGTGAACTCTTACTCTGATTTCTTTCGGATTTCTCAGTCTGTGCATGTGCGAAAACAGACTGCTGTACCTGAAGTAAGCGAGCAGCGTTGCTTTGAGACGCTAAAACCGACTACATGCTTGACAAAATGAAAGATGTAAATATTCTTCATCTTCATATTTTCAAGAAAATTAGTGTGATGTTTAAAAAAGCCACGGAATGAAGTTTGAGTTTGACATTATGTTAACGTCATGTCTTCTTCTGTGAGTTTATTGGCTGGTTGCAAAGCAGAAATCTGTTCACTGCCTGACTCATGTAGACCCCGAGTTTCCCATTGTCTGATTACTCAAGAGCATGTAAACATGTTGATCGGATTACTGACAAAAATAGGTTTTCTGCAGTTATCAGATTATTAAGTGCACGTAAACACACTCAGTGATAATCTGAGTAAACGCAAAATGCTGTTTTCAAAAGCATAAAAATGCTGTTCAGCCTCACTTGGCCCTACGTGAAAAAGTAACTGCACCCTTAGCTACTAAATCAACCAGTTAACCAAGTGGACTATTGGGTTCAGTTTCACTAGCCACACCCAGGCATGATTACTGGCCTATTGAAGCTAAACATCTCTCAGATAGAACCTGTCTGGCCATGTGAAGTGGATAGAAGTTCTCAAAAAGCAGCAAATGATTCCACAGAGT